ATCAGAAAATTGAAATGGTATATCTTTCTCCAGCAGGTTGCACAACGGTTTTGTAATTTTTGCAAAGTCTTGAATGAATCTTCTGTAAAACCCTGTATGTCCCAGAAAATTCCTGATCCCCTTTACTAAATTTAGGTGGCTGCAATTTCTCAATTACCTGTATTTTGGCTTTGTCCACTTCAATCCCCTGTGCAGAAATTCGACGTCCTAGTACTATTCCTTCTTTTACCATGAAATGACATTTTCCCAATTAACCACAAGGTTCTTCTCCTCACATCTTTGCAATACAAGAGCCAACCGATCCAAGCAATCGTCCAATGAATCTCCAAACACAGAAAAACCATCCATAAAAATCTCAATGTACTTTTCTACCATGTCAGAAAAGATGGTCATCGTGCATCGTTGAAAGGTTGCCGATGCATTGCATAAACCAAACGGCATTCTTCTAAATGCAAACGTTCCATAAGGGCATGTGAAGGTTATCTTCTCTTAGCCTCCTGGAGCAATTACTATCTGATTGTACCCTGAATATCCATCCAGAAAGCAATAATGAGAATGTCCTGCCAACCTTTCCAACATTTGATCAATGAATGGCAATGGAAAATGGTCCTTTCTGGTTGCATTATTTAGCTTTCTATAATCTTTACATACTCTCCACCCTGTTACTAACCGTGTTGGTATCAGCATATTGTTCTCGTTCTTCTCCAATGTGATTCCACCATTTTTAGGTACAACATGTACAGGACTCACCCACAAACTATTAGATATGGGATAAATTATTCCTGCATCTACTAATTTCAGTACTTCTTTTCGCACGACTTCTTTCAAGGTTGGATTCAATCGGCGTTGTCTTTCCATTGATGCCCTTGACCCGTCCTCCATTAAAATCTTGTGCATGCAAAGAGTTGGACTGATCCCTCTTATGTTAGCTATTGTCCATCCAATTGCCATTTTGTGCTACCTGTCCAACAATTTATTCTCCTCTTCCCTTGTCATGTCATTTGCAATAATTATTGGCAGTTTTGTAGATTCTCCCAAATATGCATAATGAAGATGGGAAGGTAAGGGCTTTAGTTCAAGAGTGGGTGCCTTTTCCACTGAGGGTACCGGGGAAGAAGGGTTGTCACCAAGAGATTCATACTGCCAATGCCTTCTTCCTATGGGTTACTCGGCTAAGTTGACAACACATTCAGCTTTTCCTGCATTTGTTGCTTCCAATTGCGCAAGTTCTACCTCACAAAGATTTGTGTGATGCTCTATATCAAATGTATCCGCTACAAGCTTTTCAAGAACATCAACTTGGTAGCAAGTGACAGAAGTCAATGAGTGTTTCATTGCCTTGAACACGTTGAATATGACTTGCTTATTGTCCACTCGAAGAATCATTTTTCCATCATAAACATCAATCAATGCTCTCCCAGTAGCCAAGAAGGGTCTTCCCAAGATGAGAGGAATATTTGAGTCTTCTTCCATGTCCAAAAATAATGAAATCAGCCGAAAAAATAAATTTGTCAACTTTGACCAGCACATCTTCAATAATTCCTTTTGATCGTTTGATCGATCTGTCGGCCAGTTGCAAAGTGATTATTGTAGGTTTTGCTTCTCCTAATCCAAGAGACCTGTAGACAGAGAGAGACATCAAATTAACACTGGCGCCTAAATCACATAAAGAATGTTCAAAGAAATTAGAAATAATTGTGCAAGGTATAATGAAACTCCCTGGGTCTTTTAGTTTAGGAGGTAGCTTTCTCAATAGTATTGCATTGCACTCCTCGTTCAAGCATACTGTCTCATGTTCTTCCAGCTTCCTTTTGTTAGATAGGATCTCTTTCAAGAATTTTGTATAGCTGGGCATTTAGGCAATTGCGTCTACAAATGGAATATTGATGTGCAGTTTTTTGAAAATCTCCACAAACTTAGCAAACTGATTATCCAACTTCTTTCTTTGTAACCTTTGAGGGAAGGAAATTTGTGGTACATAAGCCTTCACGGGGCTGGGTGCTCTCACTGTAGATGTTTCTTTCCTTTCGTTCTCCTTGTCAGTTAGTTGTTCAAACTCTACTTCTATCCCAGCCTTTTTACCCATTATTTCCTTTTCTTTTTGCTCTGGACTCTTTACATGTATTTCTAGAAGTTGCACCCCACTCCTAGTAGTAATAGCTTGCACTTGCTCTTTTGGATTGACCATTGTGTTGCCTGGCAATGTCCCTTGTGGTCGTTCTACAAGCTGTTGAGCTATCTGTGTTTCCAACTTCTTGATTGATGCTTGCTGATTCTGAAAGTTAGTGTCAATCTACTGAAACACCTTGTCAGTTTTCTGCATGTACTGGTTGAACATCTTCCCAAACTTTATTTTTTCTTCTGTTGGGCATTATTTGAACTGTTCCCTTGCTGATTATCTGACCATCTGAAGTTTGGGTGTTGTCTCCATCCTGGGTTGTACGTTTGAGCAAATGAATTAAGATTTCGAGATCCATTCTGAATGAAATTGACATGTTCATCGGGATAGCCTATAGATGTACAATTTTCTGTCAGATGATTAGTCCCGCAGTTCTCGCATAATGGACCAGCTGTCACTACATGTGCTCCTTTCGTTTGTGATTTTACCAATAACTCCACCTGTTTTATCAATGCTACTATTTGGGCGTTGGTAGCTGCAGTGCTGTCTAACTCATACATTCCTCCTGTCTTCGATGGCGCCACTCTTTCCGATGAGAACATTAAATGTGTAGTGGCAATCAACTCAAACAGTTCCATGGTTTGCTGCACAAATTTCCTATAATTGATCCTCCAGCTGAGGCATCGACTTGGGATTTTGACAGTGGTGTAAGTCCAGTATAGAAGTATTGTACTTGATTACCTATAGTAATTCAATGGTTTGGGCATTTTCTCATCATCTCATTAAACCTATTCCATGCTTCGTGATAGCTTTCTCCTTCTTTCTATTGAAAAGTTTGAATTTCCAATCTGATTTTAGCTACCATCGCCGGTGGAAAAAATTTATTACAGAACTTCCTGGTTAGCTCTTCCCATGTAGTAATGCTGGCGTCAGGCTCAGCGTCTAACCACTCCAATGCAGCATCTCTCAATGTAAATGGGAATAGTCGTAGTTTAATAGCATCTTCATTGACTCCCGGAACAAGAAAGTTCTGACAATTTCTGAGAAATCTAGAAATATGCTTGTTTAGATTCTCTTGAGGTAGCCCGTAGAATTGCAGGGTATTGCTCATCAAGTTAATCCAATATGGCCTGATCTTAAATTTATTCATCCCAAAATCTGGATACACGATACTGGAGCGCATGGGTGCTACTATAGGTGTCATGAACATTGATGCTGGCAAATCACCTTCATTTATTTCCCCTCGCTCATGCTCCTGTTCCAATGGTACCACCACTCTTGCGGCCATTTGTCCAATCGGCTGAATAGGGATATGAATTTGTTGATTGTCAGCCATTTGACGTTGTTGTTTTTGTTTGTGTTCTTTGCGACTTCATCTGAAGGTACGCTCTATCTTCGAGTCAAACGGTTCAAGATCATCGCCTTGGGCACAGAGCATACAACGAACACAATTTTCTATAAATAAAAGAAAAATAAACAAATCAAGTAACAGTTAAAATAAAAAAAATAAATTAAGACTAAAAGAAATAGTCATCGGCAACGGTGCTAACAACTTGTTGTAAAACTTTGTTTCGCAAGTGTACGACCCGTAACAAGTAATAGTGGATCTAAGAGTCTGAATTGTCGATCCCACAAGGACTATTTTCTAGCACTTAATTCAATTTTTCTTTAACTACTATTTGACTAAAACAAATTAAAAGTTGTAAAATCTGAGTTTTAATCTAAATTCTAGAAAATAAATGGATGTTCACACGATTGGTTGGAGAATCAAATAATGAATGGATGTCAAGGCAGAATAACTTCACAAATTGATCACTTTTACAACTCAAATTAAAACTCAATTCTAATGTAGTGCTCGGTCGAATTCTCCTATTGTATTCAATTTACCCCTCTCGAGTTCTCATTGAGCCTATTCAATTAATTAAATTTCATATCTCTATGCAAATTCAACTTAGTTAAACGAGTTCTATATCCTAGGAATTCAATTATGACCGTAATAAATAGTATATGTATCTCTACTCGTTATACCAATGTACTGAATTTTACTACATTGTCTAAATCCTAAACTAATATCTCTATTTGTAAAGAATTCACAAAAATTATCAAATTATTGATAAGATAATTTAATGCATTCAATTCATAGCAAAATCAACACATGAAAAAATTAAAACTAAGAATTTTAATAAGCGAATGTAAAGGATCCCAATTGGTTATATTATTTCCCATAACAATGAATTTAGCTACTCATAATGCAAGAATAAAAATAGGAAATTATCTTAGAATACATCACCGAATTTGTAATAAAGATATAGAAGAAAAAATATAATTTTTGCACCAAGATCTCCTTCCCTTTTCAATGAATGCTTTTAATCTTCAATTATTTGGTGTTAATCTTCTTGAATTTCTCTTTTATATCTCCCTTTTTGTTGTCTTGTCTCCAATGTGTCAAGAACCACTCAAAAGTATGAGAAAGATGTATTTATAATTGTCCCTCCGTTTTGTGTAGAAGTAGGATTTTTATGGATTTTAAAACGGCCCAAAAAAATGCGCCCTAGATACTCAGTCGCAGCGCCTGGGCGCTATGATTACGGCGCCTAGGCGCTACCTCTCGAGTTCAAATTTCATCTTTTTTTAGTTTCGTAGCGCCTAGGCGCTATGAATGCAGCTCCTAAACGCCGTCTTTCTGCCCCAATTTCGTGTTTTTGGCCTCTTCATCCACTTTAATACCTCTTTTTTCATCGCCTCTCCTAATCTTCAAAACAACACTAACAAACACATCAAAATGTTCTATACTCACAAGATCTAGCATTTAATCAAGCTAAAATTGTGCAAAAATCATAGTGAAACAAACTCATCATCAATGTGTTTTTTCTTATTCCAGCCGAAGAATTAGGTATTACAGAGCTCATACCTGCGTATCTTGATCCGAATTTGAAACCTGAGGATCTTAAAAAGGGCGTAAGCTTTGCTTCCGGAGGTTGTGGATTTGATCCCCAGACTCCTAAATTAGTGGTACGTAACATGTTACTATTGGTCTTGAAGTAGCAACTCGCATTCAACATACTAAACAAACCATATTGAATTCTTTAGAATAAAAATTTATTTTTCTTTTTCTTGTGTTAAACAACAGTCAGCTATATCATTATCGGATCAATTAGAATTATTCAAAGAGTACATTGGAAAGCTCAAAGGAGCTGTTGGAGAAGAAGAAGCACACAACATTTTAACCAACAGCATCCAATTGGTGGTAGCAGGCAGTGATGATCTTGCCAATACCTACTTCACATTTGGTGCTGAGCAGTTGTATGACATAAATTCCTATTCTAATCTTATGGTGTCTTCAGCTTCCAGCTTCATAAAGGTAAATATTTGATAAGTTTGACTTGACGCAGTAACTAGTAAATATTAATCTTGTCAGATCATGTCAAGTTCAACATATTAAACATGTTATATATTTTATTATTATATATAATGGTTCGTTTGTCATGACTTTAAATAGTCAAAAGTCACTAGTCACTTCTTATCTTGTTTAAATAATTATCTAAAAATACTTTATCTGACTAGAAGAGTTTTTTAAAAAAGTTGATCTAAGATAACTTTCTCAGTAATCTCTTCTATAAGAAACAGAAGAAAAACAAGAACATTAGCAAGTGACCCTAAGTACTCCTGATTAAGGACGTGTAAGGCAGGTTTGCTCGTCACAACCTGAATTTAGAAGCCTACGGGGTTCCCCCAACATCGGCCACCTAGAAATGGATTGTGCTAGGTTGATAGTGTCCACTTGACATGCTTATTTGTGACTCAAGATATGATTGTAAACCCAAAAGTTACAATGCAATAACTTTGGATTAATATTGTGTTACGTATCAATATTTTGTTCCAACATCGCAATTTATGAGTAATTTCTTGAAATTACTAATGAAATCAAATGACTGTGTAGGAACTGTACAAACTTGGAGCAAGAAGAATTGCTGTTTTCAGTATTCCACCAATTGGATGTTTGCCATCTCAAAGAACCGTAGCTGGTGGTGGTTTTAGAGTTTGTGCAGAAAAATATAATCAGGCAGCACAATTGGTTAATTCCAAATTATCATCTGAATGTGATTCACTTGCTAAAAAGTTACCTAAATCCAAAGTGGTTTACATTGACATATATAACCCTTTTCTTGATCTCATTCAAAGGCCTCGAAATTATGGTAATAATATTATTTCCCATTTATAATTATTAATTAGTCAAGTTTTTAGGGAATGTCTAGTTTATAAAATGCCGATTATACTTTGTTAATGACATGCTCATCCCTCTATTCAATTGAGTCGAACTGAAATGAACCCTACAATGAGCTCAAGACATTCATCTACTCTTGAATCATTTGTTTATATTTATATCTCCAACATCTCGTTTCGTCTCGTCTGTATTATATAAACTTATTTTTGAATGGTTCCAGGGTTTGAAGTAGCAGATAGAGGGTGTTGTGGCACAGGGATTATAGAAGTGATAATATTGTGCAACAAATTCAGTGGGACATGTCCAGATGATACAAAATATGTGTTTTGGGACAGTTACCATCCCACAGAGAGAGGTTATAAAGTTCTTCTTGATCAGGTTGTTCAAAAATATGTCAACAGATTCTTCTAAGCCAATTTGATGTCTCTGATTTCGTCAAATCAAAATCAAACGGTTAAAAGTGCTCACATTTCGTAAATGTTTTTTTTTTCTTTTTCTTTTTATCATTATGCGTATTTGATTGTGTAAAAGATTTAAACATTGAAAGAAATCTTTTGAATGTATACCCTTGTTTTTCCAAAGCCTTTTGTAACATTTAATGATTAGTTTATTAAAGTAATTATACCATACTCGATTCTTTTTATGGGAGGCCCAAATCCAACGGGTCATTTCTAACTCAATTTGGGAAAAAGTGGTATTAAAACCAAGTCCCAATTTGCAAGGAAATTAAATTCTTAATTTTTATCCGAATCAAAGTCAACAATTAATTTTGATCATATATTTCATGGGTCCAATAACTTTTCAATTTTACATTTATCTGCTTTTGTCAAAATCTATAAAAAAATAATAATAATAATAATAAGAAAATCTGATTTTATTTCTCACCAAACGGGAGCTAAATTCCAACTCCCGAGCATAGTGGTGAACACTTGTCAAATTCCCATGACAACGTGGGTCTAAAATTACATTGTGATAACCAGAAAAATCCATGATTTCAAGGTGAACTGTGACTCGATAGGTTCTCATGTAATGAAAGAGTTGGGTTTTAACAGAGCATGCCATTCATCTTAGCTTCAAAAAGAGCCAAATGCATATTGTCATTTGCAAGAGTTGAGATGATATGATACTTCGTTCAATGGTCTTAGCTTCAAAAAGAGCCAAATGCATATTGTCATTTGCAAGAGTTGAGATGATATTATACTTCGTTCAACGGTAGACTGTTGAGAAGACGCCCAAAAAAAAAAAAATAGAGGAAGGAAGGAAGGTTCTGACACGTACACATGGTGTAGACAAAATACACCGATTTTGAGCCAGATACTTTAATATTATTTCTAGTAGCTATAACATGCAAAATATCAATGAAAATTTCAAATAGGTAAAGATACATGAATTTATTAATAATTTTTATTTTATTTTTATCATGTTGGTAAAAAAAAAAATTTATGCTCGCATGTTATACATGGTAAAATACTTCGTATTGAAATTATCTTCAACCGCCCATGTCAAATTTTCCATTTATCCATCTCATGGTCACATGGTAATTAATGTAGCCAAACATTGAACTATAAAGTGAAGAATGTTATGGTGCATTATATATATAACTTTGAGATTGGTGATTAAAGTAAAAGATTTAGAACCACTCTGCACCTTTCGAAAAGGTTTGGGACCTAAATACAATTTTCTCTAAATTATAAGACGCGCAGAGGACAGCGCGTGTATCATAAATTTTCAGTTATTTCCATATAAAAAGGCATCTCACTCACAAAAGTATGGGGTAATTTTGAGAATAGTCGGAAAATTCTTCCTATTTTTCACAATGGCCTCTTTTGTTAAAAGTACTATATTGCCCTTACTATAGTTATTTACAAGATGTATCCTTTATCTTTAAGGGCTTGTCAATCAGGACTTATATCTATATTTTTCAATCTTTTAAACACCTTTAAATATTCTTTATATCTTGATAGTTCTTCAAAGATTATAGGTTGTCCTTTCTTAGTTATATATCCTCGAACTAAACCTTCTGAAATTTCTTCTTGTATATTTCTATGTTTAGTTATAATATCTTTTACTTTTCTTATTTCTTTATAAGTTTTCACAGAATCAAATCCTATATTATTTTTACAACTATAATCTATATTTCTTCAATTTTTTCTTTACCAACAGGGAATATATCATCCGATTTTTCATCTAATTTAAATAAAAACGAAACATCTTTTTCATCTAAAAATAAAATAAAATTATTATCACCATTAACAGTGGAAGTGGATGCTTGTGAATTGTACATCAAAATAATTAAAGCATGAGCATGTGAAAACAAGTAAATAACTTACAGTAATCAAGTGGAAATAAACAAGTTTTCCCTCCAGTATGCTCTTATAGATACTTTGCATGTACTTAATCAATCTTCTGAATCAAGTAAAGATTTAAAATGTTTTTGAAATCATTTGGGTCCACAACCGCTTCCGCAAAAGGCTTTTCAATTAAGGTTGCATTTCTCATTCTAGAGAACTAGCCGTGTTTCCACAGACGCTATCTCACAGTATTCAGAGTCTCTGTTTTCACCTTTATCCAAACTCTTTTCAAAATCAAGTTCCTACTTGGAATGAAATTTTAAAAGATAACTCACACACAAGGTGCTACAAATTTTTGTTAGAAAACTGCCCCTTTCCCCTAAACCATTCTTCAGATACGGGTATTTTGGCATGGCTAACATCCATTCAAAATCAAAGTTTTGAAAATCTTTTAAAATCTCTATCTGTACTGCCAAGGAATCATGAGAAACTTAACGAAATCCTTTTATGTAGGCTTTGTTGAACATAACAAACTTTACTTTGATATTCATAAATTGAAATTATACATGCTTACAAACTATATTTACATACCTTTGGTACTCACCTTATGAAGTTTAGAAATCCATAAGTGATTACCTTATTACACGCTTTCCTATCTTCAAGCTATCTAATATTTTTTCTGAATACAAGTGGCGTATACAGATTACAAAAGATTTCTCTTAGATCTGTTTAAGAGATAAGCTATTTCGAGATGCCTCTCCTTCTTCCTTCATGCCCCTTTTTATAGGAGTTTTTAGAATTTTATTTTGGACAGGTGTTTTCCACCTTTCTTTGTTGGGTAGCTAGGCCATCTTATCTCCATCGAATTCTTCATTGTCTTCTTGTTGGGTAGACCTCTTCTTTAGAAATTAGATGCCTTATCTTTTGAGTTTGTCTGCCACTTGTAACCATTGGTAGGGAGTAGTCACAATTATAGAGGCTTTTCTTGTATTATCTTCTGTCTTCTAGTAGCCACAGTTTTTATTTAATAAATTTCTTTATTAAAGTAGTGATAAAGGGCTACTTTAGTCACCATCACTTTTCCATTTTTGAATCAAAGAATTCTGCAGGGAATTCTTCATCATTAAGGGATGCTTGACTCATATCTTCAACTACACAGTATTCACAATGGTGATCACTGTAATTCCAAAGTAATTTGCATAATTCTTTAGCCATATCCTCTGATCCGTGCACTTGGTTGGATATAATTGCAGATAATAAATGATCGAGATAACAAATATTTTCTTCTTTGGTATCCATCCTTGCATTGAAATAGATAATATAATTTTCAGATGGATAAACCTATATTTTTTTCTTTCTCAGTAATTATCTGAGTTACATGTTCAAATATCTCTTTATACCCTTTTGCTCGTCTGTAGAGCATCATATTTAGAATATCTTGATATCCATTTTTAACAACCTTTTGATTGGTTGGTAAAAAATGTTGATTTGTGATTCCCATTTTGATCACATGGAACGATGGATGCATATATTCAAGAATAGGATCCCACTCCATGGTTGTTGAATGGAATCTTATATATATATTTGTTGTCTTGACAACTTCAGTATATCTTTTAACAACTTTCCTAATGTTGGTTGGGAGCTGAGCTATCTCTTTGAGATCTTTGCTAGGATATATACAAAGTATATTTCCTATTTCAAAGCAATTTTGAACCCAGTTGGCCGGTGCTCCTGGATAAAAATTTATTTTGTTGTATTTCGAATAATGGAGAGTTTTCATCCATTTTCCAATCTCCAAATACCAATCTGATAAAATATTAAAAATAACAATAAAGAATGTTACTTCTTCATGGTTATCTTTTCTGGGAAATTTTGCTTCATGGCATATTTTGACAATATCTTTTGGATCTATCATTTCAATAGAAAGTTTAGATTGAGTTTGGCTCTGTGAAGAGCTACCTTCTCTTTTGATATCTTGAATATCTTTATCACCAGTAATAGGTTTGAGTATTCCCTGTGAAGGGGTTCCTATTACCTTCTTTTCTTTCCCTTTATCCTCGGAGAGAGCGCTAGTATTCACAAGTCCCTGCGAAAGGATACTAATCTTGGTACAAGTAACTTCTGCCTCAAGGGCTATATTTTTGCCTCGAAGGCTATCTTGGATATTTTGAATTTGGGTTTCCAAATAGGAAACTTTTATCTCAAGTATTTGGACTTTCGTCCTTAGTTGTTCTAACTCCATTCCTGCTAAGATAATCAGGAAGAAAGTTAGCTGTTCCTTTAATATATTCAATATCAAATTTGAAATATGAAAACCAAATTTGTATTCTAATAATATATCTATTGGCAATAGAAGGATCAACATTATTTTTCAAAAATGTTTAACTTGAGTATTGTCAGTTCTAATCAAGAACTTCTTTGGTAGTAAATAATCTTCATATTTTTGAACTCCTCTTTTTACAGCAATGAGTTCTTTTTTGTTCGTCTCATATCTTGTTTCAACTTCTTTGAATATTCCTGATGTATAACCTGCAAGTATTTCAAGGCAAGAACAGTCTTTTTCACATTTATATTCTTTATGATTCTTTTTAACCTTTAACACTGCTCCCCAGTAATAATCTAAAGCATCAGTTTCCAGGATAAAGAAATCTCCTTCTTGTGGTATTACAAGTTTGGGCAACACCTTTAGTTCTTCTTTAACTTTCCTTATATTTTCAGAATCTTGTTTTTCCCAAGACCACATTATATTTTTTTTTAATTTTGGAAGAAAATAATTTTTTAATTTGGCACAATTTTCAATGAATCTTTCAGCATAATTTAATATACCAAGGAAGCTTTGTAATTATTTTTTATCTTTGATTTCTTCAGAAAATTCTTGAAGTTTTTCTCCAATGTGAGATTGCAATTGCAATTCTCCTTCTTTTATAAATAATCCTAAAAATTCTATCTCTGTTCTAGCTATCTCAGCTTTCTTTTGAGAAAGTGTAATACCATGTTTTTTCATAATATAACAAAATTTCTCAAGATGTTCAATATGTTCATCAATATTGTTTGAATGAATAAGTAAATCATCTACATATGCAATACAGAAATGAGTAATAGGTTTGATTACCTCATCTATTCTTCTTTGGAATATCTGTGGTGCATTTTTCAATCCAAATGGCATTACATTCCATTCGTATTGTCCTAAAAGATTAGGGGTACTAAATGCAGTTAGTGGTTTACTTTCTTCTGTAAGCATGATTTGTCAAAACCCTGACTTACAATCAAATTTTGAAAATATCTTTTTGTTCTGTACTTGTTTAATAAGGGTGTCCTTATTTGGCAAGTAGTATCCATCAAATTTAGTAACTTCATTTAATTTCTTGTAGTTTATCACCATTCTGACTTTTCCTCTTTTTATCTCACTATGTTTTCTAACCATAAAGGTTGGGCTGCTATGTGGGCTTTTACTAGGCCTAATCAGTCTGGCTTCTAGCAATTCTTTTATCTGATTTTTAAATTCTTTTTGATCATCAACACTATATTTGATAGGTTTGACTCTTACTATAGTGTTTGGATTGATTAATTCTATCTTTACCTTTACTTTGTCTGTATTCCATTTTTCTAATGGATTTTCAGAATATGTTTCAGAAATTTCTTTTTTCAATTTTTCCAACCTATTTTCTGTTGTCATTTTTAAGACTATAACTGGTTTAAATTTTTCTGTACTCCATCCACCACGTTGGGTTGAGGAACTCTGATGGTTTATATCCCTATATGCAATTGTAATAGTTTTATTTATTTTTGGTGTAAATATTTTATGTGCACAAGGTGTTGTGAACATATACTTATCAATATATTATGTAAATGGTGCATATTTTAATAGGAAATTTTGTCCTAATAAAATATCGCATCCTATTATCGTTGACATGTATATTGTATCAACAAATACTTCTCTAAAGGAAATTAGAAAAGGTACTTGCGTAGCATACTTGTTATATATTACCTTATTTCCACCTGCTGTTGTAGCAGTGACTATCTTCTTTAAATTGTATTTCCAGTATTCAGATGGTAGTACATTTGGTAAGTATAAGCTTATTGTACTTCCTGTATCTAAGTAAGCATGAAATTTAATTCTACAATAGCTTTTTATATTGAGTGTAATTTCAATATATGGACTAAAGGGATTAGTGCTTATTACTCTTTCCATGATAACAATAATTTCATATTTTCATCTATTCTTGATATGATGATTGAGTTATCTTCAACCGTTATTTTTAAATATTCTTGACAAATTTTATAAGGATTATATTTCTCAAGAAAGTTCATTCCTAGTAGAATAGGTGAACGATCTACTCCATATAACTCATCCTTATATAAGATTATTTCTTTAATATATTCTTTCTGATCCTCTCCTACAAGTATAAGAGGGAATTTAACATATTTTCTTATTTCAAAATTATTTCCCAAATAATCTTTAAATATATATGGTTCTAGTATTTCAAAGTCTATTAAATGACTAACAAATTTGGCATTTACATGACTTTTATTTGCTCCAGTATCTATGAGGACAAGAAGATTCTTCTTAAACCCTTCTTAGTTTACATATCTTGTCTTAATATAATATTGTGAAATTGATGGTTCAGCAATGCTTAAATTTTTAAGTCTGCTTATCCTAGAGTTTTGTCTAGAGGGAAATCTTACAATAAGATTATCTCCTTCTAAGTTGACATTATTTCTTCTTATTAATTTTCCTTCAGAATTAATTTCTTTTGCTTGTTTATGAAAATCAAGCATTATTTGTTCTGGTATCGTTACTTCATGTTCTTGGTATTTTTTAGGAGGTATATATTGTGCTAATTCCTCAAAATCTTTATGTATGATAATGTTATCAGTTATCTTTCTTACATTATTATGATGGCTTGTACTAAAAGCAAAAATTGATTTTATGCTTATACTAATAGCCTTACTTCTTCGTAACATTTTCAAGTTTCCAATTTTATAGTATAGATTGAAACTTATTTTCATCATTTAATGATATCGCATAATTTGGTTTTACTGTAAATATTATCTTTTGATAGACTAAATTTCCTATAACTGTTCCTAATAGAGCATTTATAGGATCTTGTAAGATTCTATTGTCCATACAATAGATTTCTATTGGTATATTCATACCTTCTCTAAAAAATCCTTTTACCATTATCTGGACTCCTCCTAATTCAATACATTTCAATTTATTTCTTACATTTTCTAAGATTTTGGATAATTTTTGTTTTACCCATTCTTTTGTAATTATAGAAATTCTTACTTTTCCTATAGTGTCTTCTATATTGATAGATATTTCTTTATAATTCATACTTACAATTGTTTTATTTACTCTTAGTAAAATTCCTAAAAATCCTTGATGATATATATCTTTTTCTTGTAGATCTAATATTTTTTTAGTAATTCCTGCGTATTTTTTAATATCAAAGGTAATCTCTTGATTAATACCTTTTATAGAATCTTCAACTTCTTCAGTTGTTTCTATTTCAATTTCTGATTGTTGTATCTCCTGATTCATATATACTATTTCCTCATAATCTTCCTCTGATGAAGATGTATCTAATTCATAAATACTACTGCATTCACTACTTAAATCTTCAAAATATTCAATTGGTTCTATATCACTATCTTCTTGAAATTTTTCATAAATTCTAAGAGTTTTTATATTTTGTCTATCTTTCTTTTTAGGACATTGAGGGGCAATGTGTCATTCTTCATTACAAATAAAACATCTACATTTTTTAATGTTTCTTGGTTTAAATTTCTTATTCCAATTTCTTTTTTTGAAATATTTTTTATGTGGTTTAAAATTCCTTTTATTGAATTTTTTATAATTTTTGAATTTTCTTTTATATTTCTTATATGGTTTATATTTCTTCTTATGGCATCCAAATTGTTCAATTTGGTCATTATCTTTATAACAACATAATGAATTCTTTCTTATTTTATAAGCCTTCTTATTTTCTAGTGCTTCTCTGCACCACATACCTATCATTCTTCTTGTAAATTCAATTCTACTTTCAAGACTATCTATTTTAACTCCTTCCTCTTCTCCTAGAGGTAATAATTTCTCATATTCTTTTAATAGCTTAATTCCCCATGGAAATGGTAGCTTTGTAAAATAAGATTTTAATATGGGTTTATTTTCTTGATAATCTCCTTGATTAAGTATATAGTATAATTCTTCAAATTTACATGTATATCTTTCTAACTCACACATATCACATATCTTCAGATTTTCTATTGCTATCATTCCTTGATTATATTCATCTTGTTTCCTTTCTTCTTCATTAGAAGTATGTCTATCTCCCAAAAATTCTGTCCTTAAGACTTTTTCAAATCTTTTTAATATTTTCTGTATATTTTGTTCATTTATAGTGTTTTTATTATCTAATACCCCAGTTCTATTTGTTCCATATTTTATTCTTCCTTTAATAATTTCTGGCAACTTTCTCCACCATTCAAAAACAATTCCTCTAAATGTATGTTCTATAAATCCAAAAACTGTATATGTTTCCCATTTGTTAAATTGTATAGCTAAATCTATACTTTTCATCCATGTTTCAATAGCTTTATTTTTATCTACACAGTCTAAGTCTAACCATACTCCTGTTGTGTGGATTGGTTCATTATAGGATTTCATTGGATTTATTTCTTTTATGGATTGTTTTCTTACATTTCCAGTGTATCTTTTCTGTGTTTTTCTATATTGGTTAATACCATCCTTAAGTGGTATTGTAGTACCATAAGGATAATCTTGTTCTTTATCATTACTAAATTCTACTTTTATATTCTGACTTGAAGATGGATTAGTATTCATCTTTATATTTTCCATTTTTTTCAGTTAATTTTTCTAACTATTTTTTATATTCTTCATACTCTTCACCTGTAGATTTTAAGAATTTTTGTTCTATTTTTTCTACATCTGTTATCATATATTGTTTTTCTTCATGTTTTTTCCCTTTATTATTTTCTTTTTGTGCTATCCTAAAATCTTGAAGTGGATTAATTATAATCCTATCTTTTCCCTTAAAACTTTTATTTAGAAGAGCGTTTCCTATTTGTAGATTATATTCTAGATTTTCTAATCTTTTATGGATATCTCCAAAATTTTCATTTGTGGTGTTTTTAGGCAAATAAGGATAACTAGGTTTTTTATGTTTTTCAACTTTTTTCAAGAAATTTTCAATTATATTTTCTTCATCTACTATATTCATCATAATTTTTGATTTGTAATCTGGCTCTGATACCATTTCGTCGGAGTGTGCAGCGGAGGGGTTAATATTTTTGAGCCAATTAAAATTTTTATAAATATCTAAAATGTCACAATAAAATTTATAAAATTCACTATTTTTTATTAATACTTTTTCTTTAATGATTTTATTTAATTCTTTAATTCTTCTTCTCAGATTAAGAATTAATTTATATATATCATTTTCTGTTTTGATTGTATTATTATCTATAGAAACATTTTTATTTCTTAATTTTGGATTTAAATATTCTGTAAAGAATCCTTTCAGTTCTTCTTCTAAGTAATTTAATTCACTTTTTGTTGCATTTCTTAGATCAATAAAATTTTCTATAATATTTGGATTTAAATTAATTAAAGATTTTTGGTCTATATTTTCTTGAGGACCTATTTGAAAGTTTTTATACATTATAGTGGCTTTAGTTATAATTTTTCTATAAGGGGTATTTTTGGAAAGATGATTGTTTGAAGACTATTTTTCAAATATTTTCATTTCTTAGTCTATTTTCAAAAGCCATCCTTTTATTTAGACTATTTGGATGTATTTACCCAAAAGTATCCCATACCTCTCAGATTAATTTCTCCTGTGCCCTAATTATTCTTCGCACACGCACGAAACGATGTCATCTTCAGGGCCGGAGATTGCTGGTAAGAAGGTAACTCTTCGGAGCTCCGACGGCGAGGTTTTCGAGGTGGACGAAGTGGTGGCGCTGGAGTCTCAAACGATCAAGCACATGGTTGAGGATGACTGCGCCGACAACGTTATCCCGCTGCCCAACGTCACCGGCAAGATCCTGTCGAAAATCATTGAGTACTGCAAAAAGCACGTTGACGCGGCCTCCTCCAAACCCGACGACAAGGTCTCCGCCAACGACGATGACCTCAAGGCCTTTGATGCCGATTTCGTCAAAGTTGACCAAGGCACCCTCTACGACCTCATCCTGGTATGCTTATCATTATGTTTTTTTATTTATATTAATAATGATTTAATTTTTTTTAGAATTATTAATTGGTGTTGACGCTATATTATTGGTTATTGTAGATTTGGTTATAAGTTGTGTGATTTAGATGTTAATCGTACATTATATCTGTAATTTTTCTAATTGTTGTTACTATGGCTACAATTATTATTGCTATATTATCACGGCCTGGATCTCAGCTACAGCTCCTTCTTCCACTCTAACTCAGCACTGGAATTATTCAGCTGAATTCTAACAAAGTAAAATGAAAATAGAACTGGGGGAAGGGATAAAGGGCAAAAGAAGAATTAAGAGATGAGATGAGCTATTCAATTGTGTTGGATTTTATGCTCAATAATAACTGAATTTGCTGAAAATCACAGACCCTACCCTTCGTGCATGGATGTATACATATATACACTCATGGTTGAAGTCACATATAAAACGTTTTCTAACTATTACATTGAATTGATGGAAAACATCACCGTTTCAACTAAAGCCACAGAACACCGTTTTGAATTTAAAAGTTAGTTAATTCCGTTGGTCTTCTTCTTCTTCTTTCTTGAGTCTGTTCTTCTGCATTCTTTTTGCGGTTCTCTTCCTTCTCTTTCCCCAGCTGCCTCTTACATAACAAATTTGTGCAAATAATCTAGAATTAGTTTAAGTTCATGTTTATAATTTGCATTTTATTGATGCTATTTTCTGGATTATGTATGGATTTAGTTGTTATTATGCTTTATAAATGTTAATAGTTTCTGTTTCTGCAGATAACCTATCAGTGCTCCTTTTCTTTAAGAATTATACGTATTCATTTTATTGTTAATATTGTTGATGGTTTGATTTTGTCTAGAAATATCTTTCTATTTGGTTGTGAACTGTGGATTAGGGTTTATTACTCAAAATTCTTCTATTTCTCTCATTTCGAATTTTAATATATAGTTCCATCCTTTAATATAATAAATTAGCATAATCTGTAATATAATTGTCATATAATTCTTTAAAATTATCATATTCCTTAGACGATATATCCATAGTTTCTAGTTGAGAAAAAATATTTTTTATTTTTTCTAATAGTCTTTCTAACAGATTATCTAATCCCTTAATTGTATAGCCTGGCATTATATTATAATTCCTTACAAGTTTTATAATGAATAATAACATGATAGATAAGTTTTTGCAAACATGATAAGTAATAATTCCTACGATTCTTTCAAGATATTAGTAGAATTCTTTCTAAATTTAACAAAGACAATAATTTTACCTTACTTTTGATCTTAAATCTGTATTCTTAGAATCGAGTGACCTTCAGGCTCTGAATCTGCAAACTGCTCCCCTAAAAGGTCTTTTGCCTCAATGGGAATTCTGCTATTTCAGCTTCTTGTCCTCACTGTATTTTTTCTTAGAATTTAGAATAAGGATCTTAAGTAAAGAAAATTCTCTCTTTATTAAAGTAAGGCTTAGTTGGGAATTGCTACGTGTATGACCAGAGACTTATTTCATCCATTTATTACTGTTCCCAATGCGGGGGATTTTTTTAAAAGGTTTATCACTATTTATTCTTGCCAAAATGTCTATAATACCCTTAATGAAATGGCTTGTCATATTTTCAAAAAAATTATCTTCTTCAATCTGTTAAGAATCTACGGGATAGGAAGTTTAAAAACTCATATTTTTCTGATATCAAAAGATTGAAACTTTATTTATATAATGATTTATACAAGGTTTCTATTATATACAAGGGATTTCCAGAAAAATTGGTTTTAAACAAAGCTTAAGGAAAGAGAATGGTTTCCAACTCGAGATGATCCATTTTCTCCCAAAGACCTCTATTTATACATGACTTTATATCATTGCATACATCAAAATTTGAAAAAGGCTCACATGCCTCTCTATTATTTTCCTCCCGGGGTCTACATTTTCACATGCGTTTTTTGCTTTTTCATCAAAGAGACATCTTTTCATCCATTATTGCCTCTTCATCTTTGACTCCATATGCAGCTGGCTAGATGCTTTGGTAGTGGTAGGTCCCCTTTTAATTATCTGCATTCATCTTTTATCTTGAAGAATCAATCTTCTTAATCTTGTCTGCATGTGGGGCACTCCCTCAGTCTGCATGATTCTTGGATTATTATAGGACTTCCATTAATTTGATGAGTATAAAATTTCTGGATATATTCTTTCAAAATAGTAGATTTTTCTTTTCTATTATTCGTCAGGAGTGTTCATCTTTCATATTGACACAAGCATCTGAATTTTTTATCATATAAGTTCTTTGCAATGTTGTAAAGAACTTTCATCCCCAAAACTTTTCGTGATTTTATCCATGATTTATTGATTTTAGGCAATGGTTTATTATTTCGGCCAACTTCAATCTGAAAATCTCGGCCAACACATCCAATTGTGATAATATGTTCAGCAGGATAGTATATCCTTCCATCAACCTCGGGACTTATTGAATAAAATTTGATATAAATCGATCTCCCTTGGGCAAATTTTGAAACTTCTGCCCTGAATATATAATCAAATTTTTCAATTTCTTTTAAATCTTTTCCTGGATAGATCAAATCCAGAAATCTATAATCTGCTACCATTTTTACTATGAAAGGGTCTGCATCTTCGATAATTATTAATCTGGGATAAACATGATCTCCTGATACAATAAAATATGATTCATTTTCTTCTAATTCATAAACAATTTTGGCAAATGATCTATATTCTTCTTCTTTTGATGATAAAGGGGTATCATCATCTTCATCAGTCTTGATTCTGATAACTCTTGTATGTTCATCACCATTTTTTATAGTCACCTTTCGGGGACTTGCTATGTCTCGTTTGATATTACTGGGTCCACTGCTGCTTCCTGGCTGTGTACCTGTTTGTATTTTTGAGATTGTATCTATTGATATTTTCTGTTTGGTATTTAATGACTCGAATTGTGAAGTAATATCATCAATTCTATCATTCAATTTTTTGGTATATTTGGAATGAGAATTAGAGATTTCCACCAGCAATTTGACATTTTGTTGAATAGATTCTGCCATTTGCTCTAATTGCTCAATTCCAATTTTCATATCTTCTGATTCCTCCATGAGGAATTCCATTCGTCTTTTGACGTCTATTAATGAATTTTTGATATTATCCATCTCCGAATTCGATATTCCTGCTCAAAAAATCTGCAAGATAATTATTTATTCCTTTAATATGAACAATATCAAAATTATAGAATGATAAATATGCTTGCCATCTGTGTAACCTTGTATATTTAGGTTCCATAGGTAACTTATTTTTAAAAAGTCCTACAACTTGAGAATTATCAGTTTCAACAATAAATTTTTTAGATAAAAGGAATAATGAAAATTTTTTTTATTCCTCTAATAATTGCTAACAATTCTTTTTCATGAATAGTATAATTTATTTTTGCTTGGTCAAAAGTTTCACTTGAATATCTGCAGATTTCATTTAAATCTATTTTTAATATAGCTGCCCAATATTTATCTAAGACATCAGTATTAACAATTAAATTATCTTTTTCATCTGATAATCTTAATTTTGGTAAATTTTTACATTCTTCTTTTAATAATTTAACAATTTCAGTATGTTCTTTGTTCCAACCTTTAGTATTTATTTTTCTAAGTAGAATTTATATCTTATGTCTCTTTTTTGAGAGATTTTCAATAAATCCTTCAACATAATTTAGACATCCTAAAAATTTTTGTATTTGTTCTTTGAATTTTAATTCATCTGAAAAGTTTTCTATCTTTTTTGATATATGAGTCTGTAATTTTATTCCTTTTCTATCTATTGATAATCTCAAAAAATTTATTTCTTGTTTCTCAATTATAGATTTCTTTCTAGAAAGTACGATTCCTTCCTTTTTGCATTCATTTATGAATTGTAATAAATAATTCCTATGTTCTTTTTTATTATTAGAGCATATTAGTATATCATCTATATAAACAATAAGAAAATCACTAAACTTTTTTGAATATATTATCCATTTTCCTTTGAAATATTTGTGGTGCATTTTTTAAACCAAATGACATAATTAACTATTCATATTTTTCTTGAGGTGTACTAAAAGCTGTATATTGTATATTATCTTCTTCCATTTTTATTTGCTAAAATTCTGATTTACAATCAAATTTGAAATAATATTGTTTTCCTTTTGCAAGATTTATTAGGACTTCTTTATTTGGTAAAAAGTAACTATCAAATTTAGTATATTTATTTAATTCCTTATAGTTTATTACCATTCTAACTTTTCCTCTAATCTGCTCAGAATGTTTCATAACCATAAAAGTTGGACTACTATGAGGTCCATAACTGGGTCTAATTAACTTTTGTTCTAATAGTTCTTTTATTTAAATTTTAAATTCTTGCATATCCTGTAAGGTATACATCATTGCTCTAACTCTTATTATAACATTTTCTGTTAATTCTATTTTAGCTCTAGGATGATATGGTTTTCAAAATAATAATGAATTTTCTCCATAAATTTTTTCTAATTGTTCTATGATTTTTACCATACTTATCTCTATTTCTATTTTTAGGGTCTTTTTATATGATAGTTTTTTTATTTTTTAGTTCATCTTGTACTATTGGTCGTTTTTCCCATTTATCACCACGCTGAGCTGACTGAACTCTATATGGTCTAAATTCTCTTGATATTTTTAATAGATGTGGACAAGGTGTTTGTAACATTATCATGTAATTATTTTGTTTATAGTATTGAAATTGTTGGGTAAAGTCATTTCCTAATAATATATCACATTCTAGGTTATTATAATTGTATACTTTATTTATTATAACTTGTTTACTACCAAGTATTATATTAACTTTTTCAACACTATCAATTATTTGAGTTCTTTTTTCAGTCACTCCTGTTATTTTTATTTTACTATTTTTATTCCATGATTTTATTAAGAAATTTTTAAAAATTGTTATATCACTTCCTGTATCAATTAAGGCACAAGTTGTTATGTTTGTTTCTACTATAGTAACTTGTATATATACTGTCAATGGAAAACTTATTTGATTATTCATCCACTTCTTATTTTACATAATGTAGTTTGTCC